GTAGGGGGTGTGCAGGAGGCAGCTGATGGATGTTTCTCTCTCATTGATGTTTCTAACTCTCTATCCCTCTCCCTTCCTCTCTGTAAAAAATCAATAAAATAAATTTATAAAATTAAAAAAAAGATGGGGCATTGGGCCACACAATATCAGTTTGACCTCTGCAGGGGTTGGACACTGAGTAAAAAATGTGACAGACTTTTAATAAAAAGCCTGGACAGCAAGGCTTGCCGTGTGTGGTCACACATCGTTGCTGGGAGCGTTAAGCGCTGTCTGTGTGACGTCCCTGGAAGAGACAACGGAAGCTGGTGCCTGGTCTCTCCTGGTTCTGCCCTGCGGTGCCTTTTCCCTGGCTGATTCTTTTTTTTTTTTTTTTATTTAAATATACTTTATTGATTTTTTACAGAGAGGAAGGGAGAGGGATAGAGAGTTAGAAACATCAATGAGAGAGAAACATCGATCAGCTGCCTCCTGCACACACCCTACTGGGGATGTGCCCACAACCAAGGTACATGCCCTTGACTGGAATCGAACCTGGGACCCTTGAGTCCGAAGGCCGATGCTCTATCCACGGAGCCAAACCGGTTAGGGCTCTGGGCCGATTCTCACTATAACTATGAGCCTAACCGCTGTGCTGAGTTCTGAGTCCTTCTGGTGAACCACCAAATCTGAGGGTGGTCTGGGGACCCGACAATGTGCTGTGATACGAGGGGAAGAGCAAATGTATAAGTTTATATCAAAATAAAGTGATGAGGGTCTGCAGGGTGTGTCCCAGTTAACAAAGCCATTGACAACTAGGATTCTGGGAATTTCCCACAAGTGCAGCTGACACACACTGTTATGAGCTGACACAGGCTTCCCACTTTGACCACAGTGGCGAGTTTTCCTAAAAGAGAAGCTGACGGTGCTCGGGGACAGTGGGAGGAACGGAAACTGGAGAAGTGGGCCTTGCTGGCGCGTGCCTAGGCCGGGCAGCTCAGCCGTGGCCGTCTGTAGTTCACCCAGGATGAACCCGAGGCCACGAGCAGGGACTTCCTGAGGTCACTGATGGACTTAGGCAGAGCCTGTCCCATGCTGCCCAGGTTTTTTCAAACCAGATCTACTTGCCTTCCCAGCCCAGGGAAGTCAGAAAGGCCCACCTGGGATTCCAGCCCACACACACAACCCACCCCTGGCTGAGCACCAGGGTTCTCTGCGGTCACCTCCAGCTTCGCCCAGGTCCACTCACCTTCTCTATCTTTAGTTCTTTTGCCACTAAACTCCTAACTTTAGTATCTACTCAGCCCTACTCTGTATAGTCATAACATAAAGAGAAAAAGAGGCCCATCCCCCAAGGTGAGATCATAGAGAGTAAACAAATTCTTTACAGTAGAACATTCATTCATTCAACAAATATTTGGGAGCACCTGCTATGTACAGGCACCGCTCAAGGCCCTGGAAACATGGCCGTGAACGAGACAGAGGGGACCCTGTTGTCATGGAGCTTACAGCCCAGCAGACAGAAAAACAACAATTGTTCAAATAAGTCACCACTGTGTTGTACGGTCTATGCACGAGGAACAAGAGAAAGCAGAGCATGGAAGGGAACTGGGGGCACCGGCGCCGGGTGAGGGATTAACCAGGCTGGGACTTTCCCTCCCCCCGCCCCCCATACCAATCCCTCTCCGCAGGTATCTGCAACAGGGGTGTTTGGGAACAAAAATGGGAGGACATCAGCCTTGGACCAAGAGGAAATAAAGGATTAAGAAGGATAGGGGGCCTGGCCACTGTGGCTCGGTTGGTGAGTGTGGTCCCCTGCACCAAAGGGTCATCGGTTTGAATCCTGGCTGCGGCACAC